CAAGGTGCACGGGGGCGGGAGGGGCAGACTCAGATTACTTTGCCTTCAGTGGTCTGCTTCGGGAGGGGCCCTGTGGCATTGGGAGGGAGGCAGACCCATTGGAGCGATGGATCCACAGAAGCACAGCATTGGGTGTTTGCGCAGTGCAAGCAAGTTCGTGAAGGGAACTGGTTCCCTTTGGGATTTCATCTGGGGGATGGGCGAGGGAGATGGTGCTGGCCAGCGCCTTTGTTTTCCGCCAAGCTGAGCTCTGTCCTTCGGGGCTCAACAACTTTCCCTCCCGTTGTTCTCTAGCCCTCCCGCTCTCGGAGCAGAGCTGTTGACTTACAACATTCCAGATGTTAAGTCCCACTGGCTGTCAGAACACACTCCGTCCGGCCCTTCTGCTTTTGCATGCCACACTCGGGCACTCTGCCTTGCCGGGTGGGCTGGTTGCCCCTCCGCCTCTCTGGCTCTCTCCTGCCAGTCTGTGTGGCACGAACCGCCTCTCTGCCCTTCCTACCCTCTTCCATGGGCCTCTTGTCTACGCTTGGGTCCGGAGAGTCCATTCTGCTAGTCTTCTGGCGGTTTTCTGGGTTATTTAGGCAGATGTGGGTGGAATCTAAATGTTCAGCAGGACACGGTGAGCCCAGCGTCCTCATATGCCGCCATCTTCCTTCCGGATCCTTCATATTGATTTTTACATTCTTACAAGGCTTTACATTTTTCTGTCAAGTAAGTGGTCTAAATTTTTGTCAGTAGCATTTGTTGGGTCCTCATTACCTGAAGAGTTTTTGGCACTTTGGGGTTTATTATTTTTTTTTTCTTGTTTGTCTTAACACGTTCACATTGGACTGAAATTAACTTGTTACATGTTTGCTGCTTCTATTGGGTGGTAAATGTGAAAAATCTTCTTATTTTTGTATTTCTAGTGCTTAGCACAGTGCCTGGTGGCTAGAAATTCTCAGTAAATATTTTGTTGAATTACAGTGATGAAGAAAACTTGTATTATTTGTAGCACATAATAAATGGCTGTTATTTTCATCCCAGAATGCTATTTTAAGAAATTAAAACTTGGCAGTTCAAGTGATTGAGGAGACAAATGATCAAATAAAACTCTTAAGATACTCCTAAAATACTGGTTTTCAATGTATGGTCTCCCATCAGCAATATCAACATTACCAGAGAACTTATTAGAATTGTAGATTCTCAGGGCTTACCCCAGACCAACTGAGTCATAATCTCTGGGGTAGGGTCGAAGAAACCCTCCCAGGAATCCTGATGGCCACTAAAATTTGAGAAATATTCCCTAAAGGCACAGAGGGGAAAAAAAGGCAAAGAAAGTGAGCAGCTACTGGTAATTGACTGCAACAGTAAAACTAAATCCCCTCTTTCCGTTATCACTGAGAAAGCTTAGGCTTGTTTTTGCCAGGTCCTTCCTTCATTCCTTCCTTCCTTTCTTTTTGTGAATATGGTGCATCATTTGATTTAGTTGCTGTATTTGTTTCAATGGTAGTCTTTGATTAGGATAAAGTACAATATAATAAAAAAAAATTGCAACCCAGCAGTATACTGTTCACTTTTTCTGTTTTATTTGGTAGACAAATTTTTGGCTTCAGTTTTGTGAGGGAAACTATTTTCAAGGCAACATCAAATTAATGATACTTTAACTTTCAAAAAATGTGTTGTCTATTGGCAGCGGATAGCTGACATAGCTTTTTTGCTTCTAGTGTCTACTTTTTCCAGGAAATGACTCCCATCTGCAGCAAGAGGAATGCTGACCTTTAATGTGCATGTTAGTCACTTCTTTTAGCTCAGTGCCAATTTAATAATATTACACATTTCGTGAATTTGGTTGAAAGTATGTGCTAGCCAGATTGTTTTCACTCTGGAGTTTCAAGCTTTTGAAGAATTAAAGTTTGTGTTTTTCTAAAACTAAATTGAATTCTTCAAGTTGACTAATGAATGGGGAGAGGAGAGTTCTTGGTTTGGGTCAAATGGTTAAATGTGGTCCCAGGACAAAGAGCATCAGCATCTTTGGAAACTTCTTAGAAATGTAAAATATTTGGCCCAACCCAGACTTAATGATTGTAGAATTCTGGGAATGGAGCCCAGAAATATGTGCTTTATAAAGTTGTCCAGGTAATTCTGATACCTTCTATAATTTGGGTCCCAAAGGGTGGAAGGTTAGTTTTAGCCCCTGTAGAGGACAGCATGGTATTGTAAAATTACATGGGTTCCCTAATGCAGCTGACCAAATCTGGGGAAAATAAGAGCTTTGTAGCCAGACCTTGCTTTGAACCCTATACTATGATTTCTTAAAAAATATCAGGCAAGTTAGTATTTCTGAGCTTCAGTTTCCTCATATATAAAATATTAGTAATCATAAATCATGGATGAGTGTTATTGTATTAGGTGTTCAATCAATACTAATTTGAAAGGCTCATAAAACTTAGAATTGGAAGCAAACTTCTTTTCAGGGAAAAATGTCATTTTCAGTGGAAACAAAATAATTAAGTAGTTAAGCTTCCTTCCAGTTGCTGTTGGAATTTTTTTGGAGGTTCCAAGTTGCTTTGAGTAAGTTCATATGCTTGAAGATTGTCACAGAAACTTTATCTTTTGAAAGTCTTGAAGGTGTCTTGAATTCTTTAAAATGAAGGGAGTATCCTGGGGCATTCTGTATGTAGAATGCTTTATGCAAATCTTTATGTATTTAGTAATTAAAAATAATTTTAATAGCTAATATATTCTCATGGTTCAGAAATCAGTGCAGTATAAGATACTCCGTGGGAAAAAATGTCAGTTCCATCCTTGCCCTCAGTTCTCCATTTATACCTACTCTATAACCAACCACTTTTCTTAGTTTCTTGTTCATACCAGTAGAATTTTGAAATGTAAATGTAAGTACATATTAATAATTACCACCTCCTTACCACAAAAGATAACACACTGTATACACTGTTTTATACATTAACACTGTACTTGGATATCTTTTCACATAGAGAAGTCTACATAATTCTTTTTTTTTTTTTCTGGGTCAGCTTTATTGAGGACCACATATAGTGAATTGCATTCAATTTAAGTATATAATTTGATGAGTTTTGATAGTTTTATGTATTTGTGAAGGTATCCCAGTTAGGATAGAGAATGTTTGCCATGGTTTTTTGTTTGTTGGTTTTGTTTCTGTTTTTGTTTCATAGTATTTTATTGTATAGATGTACCATAATTTTTTTTTTTAATTTTTTTTTTCAACGTTTTTATTTATTTTTGGGACAGAGAGAGACAGAGCATGAACAGGGGAGGGGCAGAGAGAGAGGGAGACACAGAATCGGAAACAGGCTCCAGGCTCCGAGCCATCAGCCCAGAGCCTGACGCGGGGCTCGAACTCACGGACCGCGAGATCGTGACCTGGCTGAAGTTGGACGCTTAACTGACTGCGCCACCCAGGCGCCCCTACCATAATTTTTTTAAACCAGTCTTTTGTGTTGAGGACTTGGGTGCTGATTCATATAATTCTACTCTTAATAATCTTTTTCACATAGTGTTTTTTATGTAGGCAGGTAAGTCTGAAGGTAGATTCCCAGATGGGGGATTGCTGAGCCAAAGGAGAAGTAAATAAATTTGGTAGTTGTTGCCAATTTGCCCTTCATAGGCTTGGTACAGTTTGAGCTCCCATGAGCAATGTCTGTGGGGGCCTATTTGCACAGTCTAGTTAACAAAGTACATTCTGAAACTTGGGATTTTTGCCATTAAGTGGAAAATGGTGTTTTAATATCGTTTTAACTTGAAGTTTTCTTTTGAGTGAAAGGGAGCATATTTTTGTATGTTAAAGGATAGGCCATTCATAATACTTTTCTGTAAAATATCTGTTTATACTCTTCTGCCCATTTTCCTATTGGATTTTTTTTTTTTTTCTTCTGTTAATTTCTAGGGACTCATTTTAGGAGATTAGCTCTTTCTTTACAAATACCTTTTCCCCTGATTGTATGCTTTTAACATTGCAAGAACTTCAGTTGAAGGGTATGTGTCTGAGTTTTTGCTGCTCTGGATATCTTTCTAACAGTTGTTTAACTTTGATTTATTTCCTTTTCTCCTTTCTTCCTTTCATCTCTCTCTCTTTTCCTCCTTCTTTTTTTCCCACTCTAATTTCTAAAAAAAAGAATGTGTGACAGCTTGAAGATGCTTTGTTGTTAAACAGTAATCTATTTAGTGGGTGTATGTTGTTAAATGATTTTAATATATATGACCCTGGTTCATCTCTCTTGAAGGCCATGTTTTTGGTATACTGCGCATTGGAGAAAGAACCTGTGCCAATGTCCTTGCCTCCTGCCTTGGTGCCACCTTCTAAGAGAAAAACGGTCAGTATATCAGGCTCTGTGCGGTTGATCCCCTCTTCAGCATCAGCCAAGGAACCTTACCACTCCTTACCACCTGTAGGCATTTTACCTACCAAAGCACCATTAAGACAGGTATAGATCTATCAGTGTTAAAGGACTTTTTTTTTAAGTGCATGGCATTTAACAGTTGATTGCTTGATGAAGATAGAAGGAGCAATCAAAGGGATCAAAGATTTAGAGCACCCTCTGGTTAAACCTTCATAATGTGATGTCTTGGAGAAGACAGATAAATCTTCTCCTGCATTTGGCCTTACTTAGGTATATGGATGTTTTATTGGCTTTGCCTTGATCTACCTGGAATTAAAGTTGGAGACAGAAGATACTCCATGCTAATCTGGCATGCTTGCCTGGGTATAGTTAATAGATGTTTTGTTTTTTTAATCCCCAGTTAACTCTTGATTCCTTGGGATCAGATTATCCAATTTTGGGTTGTCTAAGGCCTTTTTTTCCTCCAGCCTGCTGCTTGTCAGGCTGAGTAAAGGAAAATAATGACAGAATATGCAAATCAGCCAGTTCAGCTACATTTAAGAATGCTGAATGAAATTATAAAAAAATGAAGATTGAGAATTAACTGAATATTGTTTATATAGACTTTCCCAGTTACCCATATTAATGTGGTTATTCATAAGTCAAGAGTTAACTATGCTTGAATTTACTCATTACTTTTAAGTAAATTACTTTTAAGGAAAAAGTAAAAAGGGCATCTATAAATGTACTCCCAGCTGACCTATACTTTCCTTCTGTAATTTTCTTTTCACCACAGCATTTTGATTAGGGTGTGATGGAAATGGTACACTGTTGTTATAGTTAGTGGGGTAGAGTTGCTCAGAATTTTTACAGATACTGTCATGGGTTGAAAGAATGACACCTCAATTTTTTTCTCATTCTGACAAAAATTTTACATATGTGTGTGTGTGTGTATATGTGTGTGTGTGTATGCATACATGTTTTGTTTTGTTTTGTTTTCCTGTAGTGGGTTGTAGCCCCTGCAGAAAAGGCTAAATATGATGAGATCTTCTTGAAAACTGATAAAGATATGGATGGATTTGTGTCTGGATTGGAAGTCCGTGAAATTTTCCTGAAGACAGGTTTACCTTCTACTTTACTAGCCCATATTTGGTAAGATTTTATTTAAATTGATTTAAAAAATATGGTTTTGTATAACTCTAGTTTTGTGCATTCTTATTTTTAGGCATTTATAAATCGGACAGTTTTGTTTCAAAATTCTTTATGGAGAAAATTTAAATCTGGAGATTTCTTTTGGATAATGGACAAAAGTTTGAGAATGGATTACCTGTTATAAGATTGACAGTATCAGTTAATGATTATTAAAATGTTAAAATGCAGCATCTGTTTATATCAACTAAACTTAAATTTTTTTTAATGTTTATTATTTATTTTTGAGAGAGATACAGAGCGTGAGTGGGGGAGGGACAGAGAGAGAGGGAGACACAGAATCTGAAGCAGGCTCCAGGCTCTGAGCTGTCAGTATGGAGCCTGATGCGGCGCTTGAACCCATGAACTGGGAGATCATGACCTGAGCCGAAGTCAGAAACTTAACTGACTGAGCCACCCAGGCACCCCTAAACTTAAATTTTTAAGGGAGAATCCAAAAATCTGAAATGTAAGCAATATAAAAAACAGTGTCTTCAATGTGTGCTCACATAATTCTGTAGGGTATATGTATACTTTTATACGTTTACATAGGAATTACACACCTGGTCCTTAAAAACATGAAGTTTAGTGTCGCTAGTGAATTTCACATTAAATGAGACAATACATATGAACATTTATAGTGTGCCTGCTGCCAATCCACCTGACTATACCAGAGGTTATCTTGAGGTTTTCAAGGGGCAGCAAATATCAGGTGTGGAACCACATAGCTGCATAGAGAAACTTAGAAAAGAACAAAGGAGGACAGTAGATCTGCCTTAAGAGGAACAAGAACTCAAGACTAGGAAAGATTAAATATGTATAACTAATAATAGCTGCCACTTTCAAGTGCCTAGGCTAGGCAGTGTACTTAATAAATGGCAGCTGTCATGGGCTTGTTTGTTGGCATTATGCCCAGACTTTTTATGTACTTTGCCTTACTTCTCACTGTAACCTTGCAGGATATGTCTTTTCTCTACTTTATAGATGAAGAAACTAAGGCTTGAAGAGGTTAAAAAAATTTGTCCAAGATCACAAGAAGAAATAAGTAGAGAAGCTGGAATTCAGGGTTTCTTTGACACCTTAGCCCACAGTCTGTTCATCAGGCCACATTGCCTTTAAATGAATGAAATGGATCAGGACTTCAGAAAGCTGAGCTTAACAAAAGAAAAAAGAAAGGAAGAAAGAAAAAGAAAAATAGGATAAAACATTTGCTGTTTCTCTTTAAGTGATTTTGTAAAGCTTTCCAGATTGCTTCCTTCTCTTCACATATGAACTCCATTTGCAGCTGTTGTTTCTACTTTGACTTGGTGATCCTTATATCCGCCTATTCCCAAGAGTTGCAGGAGGCAAGCCAACATGGAAATGTTTGCTTGGTTTAGAATCATTCTACTGCCACTAATGAACCAAATTTGTTGAGACTTCGGTTTCATTTTTAACATCTTTTAATATTTAGAATGTTGGGATTCTTTGGCCCACTATGACTCTTAACCTGTAATGGTTCTGGAAATTGGTGAGAAAGCACAAAGCAAACTCATATAAGAGACCTCTGCTCAGCACCAGGGTGAACATTCTCTTTCTCTTAAAACTTTTAGCTGATCTCTCTCTTCTAACATTTGAGTGAGTTTTGGGCAAGCCATACCCAAAAAGTTATGACTTTCTTTTTTAATTCAACTGATCATTTTTAAGAAGCTACCTAGTCCTATTACATTTTTCCTGGATTTTTAGAATGGTAGTTGTAGCATTTATATTCTGTTCGTTTTGTTTATTTGTACAGGACATTATGTGACACAAAGGACTGTGGGAAGCTTTCAAAGGATCAGTTTGCCTTGGCTTTTCACTTAATCAATCAAAAGTTAATAAAGGGCATTGATCCTCCTCACATTCTTACTCCTGAGATGGTTCCACCATCAGACAGGGCCAGTTTACAGAAGGTAAGACAACTTAAAAGAAAACCTGAATGTATTAACAGAAAGGAGCAAGTGCTGTGTTAGATGACAGACTTGATTTGTAGGTAATAGTGGAGAAAATGTATCTGGCTAGGAGCAGAGCAGTATGCTGTTTGTGGTTTAGTTTGTGTCTATAAATATGTTCAAATGCCTTGTATGACATCCTTGGACTGCAGCTCATTTACCCCAACATTCATTACATATATAGCAACCATATTTTCCAACGTAAAAAGTGGAAAAATGTGGTCTTTTTTACCCCTCTTGGATTTGTGAATTAATTTTTATGAATAAGGTATAAAATTTAAATGAAATCTATAGGAATTACTTTGTTTCATTTGATGATTCACTCTTACAGAAAATAGGAATTTGAAAACAAAATCTGGAAGATTATTATTTCTTGGTGTCAATTTTACATATAAACAAGAAAAACATCATGTTGAGAAGAAATCTGTGTGGTTTTTGCCACATAGATGATCTTCATTTCCTGAGGATATGGCCAAAATCTCACATCTAAACAGTGACCAGCAGGTTTCAGCCAGGTTTCTGGCCAGCGGTGGGAATTTTCAAAACTACATTGTTTTATTTAGCCTTGCTGTGCCTTGATTTTTCTCTTTTCCTCTAGAAATCCTTCCTAGCATAGTATATTTATAGTGTCTTGCCCTTAATAGAGCTTTAAAAGGACTCACACTGTCTAATGGCTGTTTGCCTTTAAGAATACATGCTTTGTATCTTTAAATCTCTTGTACCTATAAAGCAATTATTGCTGTGGTGATTCCTCGGAGTTAGATATAGTAAGAGTTGTCAAATGTGTGGTGTAAGGAGAGCTGTCTTGGAAATGTCAGGAGAATATTTTAGTTTGCATTAGTTTTGTCACATAGGTTTTAAAAAAATCCCATTTTAACCTAGTAAAAGTCAAAATTGGATTTTTCCCCAAAGTCAACTAAATGGAAATTTATAGCCACCAGGTACAGAAGTTACTTCTAAGAGTTTTGTTCTTATTTTTTAATAAAATAAATATTTGATTATCTATTTTGTGAGTTCGGTGGGGGGGGGCACATTTTGTGAAGGTTTTGAGATTTTTTGTGATGTAGGACATGGATTTCCCAAGTTGTGGAGAAAGCTAAAAGTGATGCCACCCAGAAAGATAAAGGTTACAAATTTATGTGTGTGCTCTCTACAATACCTGTATTTCAGTTGTTTCTTCCCTTTTTTCACCTATGCAGACTTTTTTCCCCTTGCCACCTTTATCTTATACCCACTAAGTCTCTCAGCAATACAAATTACAGATAATGACAAAACTCTCTGAAATTATGTTTGTTCAGTTAAGTCTATAACATTAGTAGACACTCCAGGTTGCATCTGCTGTGCAGAGTTTTTAATAGATTTGTCTGAAGTCCATTCACTAGAACATAGATAACTTTGTCTATGTTAGATATCAGTATTACACATTAAAATGGGATTTTATCACTATTATCTATTAATCACAATTTTTAACCTTATATATTAAAAATTTGCATTTGTTTTGTCTCTTGAATAATCTCTTTTCTCTTTATAATCTAAATTTTTTAGAACTGCATTTTTTTTGCAGCTTTGACTAATGTTTTTTTGAATATTGCTTTCTGTGTTTTTTCTAGTTTGGACTATTTTTTCCATTCTGCAGCACTCTGCTTTTCGCCTTTCTTGTACTGTCAGTTTCTTAACTCTACTCTCTCAAGGTTAGAGCTTTACTTTATGCCTTTTTTAGCATTACAGTTTTTGGTTTACAATTTTGAAATTAGAGGCTTTTTAAGCGGCAAAGTTGATGCAGAGAAAATACTTAAACAGCATGATTTTGTCACGTGTCTGTCACTTGGTCCTTGTATGCATTTTAGCTTGCCTTCCTTAGGCTCTTTAATCCACTTAAAATCACCAAAGTGGAATTTTTGTGTAATGCACAAAATAGGGTGAGAGAAAATATTTTGAAAGAAGGGAACATGCTACATTTTTCTCCATATGCCCTTCTTATACTTCAGATGCTATTAGCTAAAGTTTTTCCATGTTCCTTGTTGCATGCCATTTTATTACTTTAGAATGGGAGTTTAATTTCTTTGTTAATAATTGAGGAGTGACACAAGCTATACCAACTACAGTGCACTAATCTTCCTTCTAGAGTCATCTGTGGTATCCCCTTCTAACTTGTTTGAGGTTAAATTTATTTGTCTCCTTCTTATTTGATGATATTTTTGATAGTGAAAGACTGTCAGCTGTGAATCACATTTTTTGAGTTAGAGTGACAGAAGAGGTGTGGAAGTCATGAGTTTCTTGGTATACTTGCACCTTTCATAGCAGATTTCTCAGTAGCATTTAGGTGATGTAAGTTGCTTTTGGTGGTAAAAGTGAGATCATGTGCTAATTTTTCATTTTACTCAACTGTCAAACTGTCTGGCCAGGTAACCTAGCTCATAAGTCAAATTTAGACAGATTTAAAATCCTAGTGAATACTTGTCATGTTCAGAAATCCACTTTAAAATTTCTGATTTAATTTAGGATGATAAGGGTCTGTATATTAGTGAAACACAGTAAAACAGTAAGAGGTGCATTTACTTACTATGGTTAATATGAAATTGAGACTAGCATTTATTGAATCCTAATAGATGAATTTTGGTAGTGATAGACAAAACAAAACATCTGAGGACTAATAATGCAGTGTGCTGAAAAAATGGAAGGAATTATTTGCCACATTTTATTGACATACCTGTTTATCACGTTGGCTTTTAGGGTAATGGTTTCATTTACCTTAAATGATCTTGATATGCAAGTGCCAAGGGGCATTGTGTGAAATAGGCTTGAATTTAACCAGAGGTCTCCTAATCAATGGGTCCTTTTTAGCTGGGTTCAACTTTAAGCAAGTCATTTAATCTGGTTCCCTAGCTCTAAAATTGAGTTAGTAATAATAATAACTGCTACAACCCAGTTTTCAGGTTAGTTTTGAAAATTGATTAATGGATTTGAAAGTGCTTGGTAAATTGTAAATCGTCATATGAATGTGAGGAGATGGGATATTATGAACTTTTAGGTTTCTTTTTCTGTTGTCCAAGTTGGTGACATACATTAAGTTCATAATACTAAGTTTTATGTTCTGCTAATAAGGTCCTTAGTATACTTTAGTTTTACATGTTCAGGCCTCAATTTTAACAATTTTTAATGGTGATTATTTTGTTATTTGTCAGTCTGATTGTAGCACTGGGGATAGGTCAGGTGTCTGAAGAAGCAGTTACCTTCTTGCCCTGACTTCAAGCGGCTATAAAAGGCATCAGAAATGGTTCACAAAGGAGGATTGAGCCAGGGTGGAAACAACTCATTGGGAGGTCATCCATCTTAAGAGCATATTCTGTTGGAGGAAATTAATTATAATAATACCTTACAATTATAAAATGTCATAAAGTTTTGGAGTGACTTTACATACAATATTTATTTCATTTAATTTTTAAAGTGGGCAGGGAAGAGATTATTTCCCTATTTTACAGTAAAATCATGCAGCTAGTAGGATGGCAGATCCCAGAATAAACCCAGCTAGATTTTCTAAATACAGGTGCCTTTCAGAGACCAAGTTTGACACTTTCATTACTGAAAGAAAACCATATGTAAAGGATGTCATATATGAAGATAGTTTCATATATGGTGATATTAATATTTACTATGGAACATGCTGAGCAATTGGTTTTATTTTAAATAGGGTAGGCACTAAAATTGTTTAACAAAAGTAAATGTTGAATTGAATATAATCAACTACCATTATGGTTCTGAGATTCACCAAAATTTGTTTACTTACTTTGTGCCAGATGACACAAGTACAAATAAAGCCACCCTACATCTCCCCAAGAAATTTATTCTTCAGTGGAGGAAGTAGTTTATAAATCTGATACCTGCTTTACTTCAATGTTTTAAACAGGCACTAGGATCAAGTGACAAAGACTTTGGGATCTGAAGTGTTGGCACCTATTGTAGAGCAACAACTTTTGGAGAATTTAAGGGAAAATGTCTCAGTACATAACTCTGTGTGTGTGTGTGTGTGTGTGTGTGTGTGTGTGTATAAAATTGCACTAGATATGATTTTCGTAAATAAATTGAAAGTATTAGTAGTACTGTAAATATGGAGTAGTCTGCATCCGTGTAGTGCTTTTAAAAATTTTTAATGCTTCACCATATATAATTTCATAGTAATAACATTATAATTGTGAACTTTTTGTTTTTAGAACATCATAGGATCAAGTCCTGTTGCAGATTTCTCTGCTATTAAGGAGCTAGATACCCTTAACAATGAAATAGTTGACCTACAGAGGTATGTAAAGTAAAATTCAAGTTGACTGTATAAACATATACACACACACTTTTCTGTTTCTAATGTGTATCTTGGTAAATGCTATTTTATTTAATCATTCTTGAATTGGGAATCTGTGAAACTTGTTAGGTTTTAGGTTGTAGTCACATTGTGTAAATGTGTAAAACACTTATACATGATTTGGCATTTATGAACATATTTTTCCTAGGCTTTTATTTGAGGTAAGATCTGCAGTGTAGGCAAACTTCCATCATCTGTCAACTCTAGTAATGTCATAATGAGACTATCAACCCATACTAAAATTATGGTTGCTAAAACTCACTTTTGTAAATGGTTGTATTAGGTCACTATATCACCACTCTTCAAGATAGTGCATTATAAATCTTGGTTTTTGTTATTGTAACATTTTTTTCTGTGCCATAGTACTGCTCTTCAGCCTTTAAATTGTTTATTAATATATCAGGATGTGATGAGTATAACTATAAAACAGGAAAAAAGAATTCAAACAAATTTTGTTTATGGCCTTTACTAAATTGTTATTTGACAAAAGATTAGCCCATTCTTATTTGTTGGGTTTTTTTTTTTTTTAATTTTTTTTTTTTAACGTTTATTTATTTTTGAGACAGAGAGAGACAGAGCATGAACAGGGGAGGGGCAGAGAGAGAGGGAGACACAGAATCGGAAACAGGCTCCAGGCTCTGAGCTGTCAGCACAGAGCCCGACGCAGGGCTCGAACTCATGGACTGTGAGATCATGACTTGAGCCGAAGTCGGACGCTTAACCGACCGAGCCACCCAGGCGCCCCTTATTTGTTGGTTTTTAGATGAAGATATTTAATTTTAGTGCAGGGCCCAAACCTGCAAACAAACAATACATAATATGGAATTGTGATGAGTATATAATGAATATGGTGCTTTACAAATTTATTTTTCCCCTCTCAGTGATAGTTATGCATACTTGTAAACATTTGGAAAATACAGAAAAGGATAATGAAAAGACTGTATGTTCCTTAGAATAATATTTTGTTTTGAGCATTGAAAATCAAAGTAGATAAGAAAAGCTGTATATAACCCAAAGAGTTAGTTGGGTAAAGAATGTTCTTTGTTATTAGTCAGAAAATGAGACATTTCCATGTCTGGTTCACAAAGTTGTTTCTAGTTGAAAATATAAGACATTGAGAGCTTGAGGCAGGGTGTCTTTTGTCATTAAAAATTTTTTTTAATATAACTCCTTCAACATTTTCTATATAGGTATTTAATTGTGTCAATCAGATTAAATTAGCATGATATTTTTAACTTCAAGAAGGAAAAGCAATAGTTGTAATGTCAGGGCAGTGGTGCTTGGAGCCTCGCGGGCACAGTGCCATTACTTGGAGTCTGTGGAGGCAGAGACATAGTGCTGACTGTGCACTGAGCCTAAGCAGCAGCAGCAGCAGCAGAAGCAGAAGCAGAGGCGTCCCCACCAACCCTTCCAGCCCCTGTGCTGGTGCTGCCACCCTTGCTCCCTCTGTTCTTCCTCCCTTCGTTTATATCATGGCTGATCAACGGACTGAAGAACAGATTGCTGAGTCCAAGGAAGCTTTCTCCCTGTTTGACAAAGATGGTGATTGGCACCATCACAACAAAGGAACTTGGAACTGTCAGAATGTCACTGGGCCAGAACCCAATAGAAGCCACATTGCAGAACATGATCAAAAAGGTGGAGGCTGACGGTAATGGCACCATTTTTTACTATGATGGCTAGAAAAATGAAAGATACAGACAGTGAAGAAGAAGCTGGTGAGGCATTACAAGTCTTTGACAAGGATAGCAATGGTTATATCCATGTGGCAGAACTGTGTCATGTTGTTACAAACTTGGGAGAAAAACTAACGGATGAAGAAGTGGATGAGATGATCAGAGAAGCAGATATTGTTGGAGATGGACAAGTAAACTATGAAGAATTCGTACAGATAATGACCGCAAGATGAAGACCTACTTTCAATTCCTTTTCCCCACCCTTCCCCAGAAGAATGAAATAGAATCTTTTACTTTACCTCTTGGGAAAACAAAAAACAAAAAAACAAGCTCATTTACTCCTTCTGTTTTCTATATAATAAAACCTTCAAAAATACCTCATGTCCACACACACAGAATCTTCATGTATTGCCTGGTGGTCCTGTCCCCTAAAGATCAAGCTACACAGTAGTTTTATAATATAAATACTTGTACTACATTAATGATAAGGAAGCACTTAGTGGACTCCTTGCAGTTCCACTGCTAATGATTAATATGCTGTTTGGGCTGGCCAGTTTTTCATGTGTACGACTTGACAATGGAGCACAGTCAGGCATTTGTATTGAAAATGAAAAATGAAAAAACAAATTTAAAACCTATTCAGATGGATTCAAGTTCAGTTTGTGAGTATAAATTGTCATAACTGGTTTATTCAAAACTAACAGTTAAAATTGGCTTATGTCAGCATGCTGTGCAGAAAAATGGGTGAAGGATAAACTGTTTACTTGTAGCTTCACTTAGCAGGATGGTCCTCTTGTACTTCCATGTGCCCTGACCCATGGTGACGATGATACACATCCTGATGGCATGCTATGCATATTGGTTTAGTGTTATCCACATTGTACTAGAGGTGTCACCGTTCACACAAATTTTTAAAAAGAAACCTTTACTGAGGGAGCATCTTTGAATTGTTTTTAAAACCTTCTGAACCATGACTTGGAGTCAGCAGAGTAGGCTGTAACTGCAGACTTCAGCACAACCATCAACAGCTGTTCAAGTAATTAAACTTCGTGTCTGTTCCAAGTTGTAAATGTTAGTCTTTTTTTTTCCAATAAAAAGACCATTAACGTAAAAAGAAATAGTTTTAATACCATAATCTTTTCAAATACCTGTATCTCCCACCTGAGCCCAAGACCTGTATTTTCATTTGCCTACTAGAGAATGTCCAGTAGGACATGACTTCCTAATCTTCCCCTGACCACTATCCTTGTCTCGTTTATTTGCCTTTCTCAGTGACATCACCATTTATCTAGTCACTCAGGCTAGAAATCTGAGATTTTTCTTCCTCTTTTTTCTTCTATCTTTGAAATGTTTCTTGAAATCACTCCTACCTTTCTGTCTCCTTTGCCTGGTCACCTCCTCCTGATCTTTCAGATCCCATCTTAGACATCACTTCTTCTGGAAGAGGGGGCCTTCTCTGACTTGTTTACCTTCCAACCCTCATACTTACCAAATCTTACATGGTTTTAATATTTATAGTAGTCATAGCATTTACCATACTTTATTATAATTGTCTATTTTATTTGGATCTCTCAATAGCCTATGTACTCTTTTTTGAGAGAGAGAGAGAGGGCGCAAGTGAGTGAGGGGAAAAGAGAGAGAAGCGGGGCACAAGCTCACCTGAACCAGGGCTTCAGCTCACTCGATGTGGGACTTGAACTCATGAACAGTGAGATCATGACTTGAGCCAAAGTCAGATGCTTAACACCTGAGCCACCCAGGGGCCCTAGCCTATGTACTTTAAGCATAAAGACTGTTTGCTTGTTCACTGTTCTATCCCTAATGCTTAGCTTATATAACAGATGAGAAAATAATTTTCAGTATTGTTGAAATCTGTCCTGGCTGTACTATTTCTTCTGTCTTAGTTTTCCTAACCCTTAATCTCTTCTCTGGATTACTATTGTAACCTCCTAATTGATTCTGTGCTTTGAGTCTCTCCTCCCTTCCTTTGCACCTCCAACTGATGTACAAAATACAACTCAGATCTCTGAGTGACTTCTTATCCCCAGCTGGATCCAGCTCACTTTTCTGAATATGGTATAAAAGCTCTTATTTCAGGTGCACCTCGGTGGCTCATTCGGTTAAACATCTGACTCTGTCAGCAGAGAGCCCACTTCGGATCCTCTGTCTCCCTCTCTCTCTGCCCCACCCCCCCGCCAAATAAATAAACATTAAAAAATAAAAAGCTCCTGGGGCGCCTGTGTGGCTCAGTCAGTTGAGTGTCAAACTTCGGCTCAGGTCATGGTCTCGCAGTTTGTGAGTTCGAGCCCCGCCTCCGGCTCTGTGCTGACAGCTCAGAGCCTGGAGCCTGCTTCGGATTCTGTGTCTCCCTCTCTCTGCCCCTTCCCCGCTCATGCTCTGTCTCTCTCTGTCTCTCAAAGGTGAATAAACGTTAAAAAAAAATTAAAAAATGAAAAAGCTCCTTTTTCATGTTTTCCTTTGGTATCCTGACCATTCTTTTGTCTTAGCCACCTCCCACAGTAAAGTAGAATCCTTTTCTTTGACACCATCAACCTCCTTGAGAGCAGACACTATGTGTTTGCTCTTGTACTCTCAGTGTTGAGCATAGTGCTCTACATTTTGGTTTCATTCCTCTTCTCCAGTCATGTGGTGGGTGGACCTCTCATGTCAACATGCCACACCTTTTTATTCTTCTGTGCCTCTCATCCAGTTGTTCCCCTTTGCCTGAGCACAGCTTTTACCTTGTAAACTTTAACTTATGCTTCAAGACCCAGCTTAAATATCATCTGCTTTGTCAAACCACTAAAATCTTGATTGCTAATTGCTTTTTTCCCTTTCTACTTCTAGAAACTTTATTCCTTTGTAATAATACCATACTTTATTGTGGTCCTTTTGTCCCCCCTCCTTAATTTGAACTCCTTCAGGGCAGGGGCTATGTCCTATTTACTTGGATAGGTCTAGAAGTTAAGGCGCACAGTATCTGACACAACAAAATCTCATTATAGGTTAGCAGGTTGAATGAATAAATCAAAGTATGTTATAAATATTAGAATATTTCCCAGACTTAATTCCTGCCAAGTTTATGACAGACTAGGAACCATATATTAAAGGATGAAAGGGCAAAAGATATGAATAATAGCTTATTTTGAAGACTGTAGAAGAGGATTTTACAGATAAAAGGATCTTTAATCCTCACAGGGGCATTAGGTTATTGGGCTGTTGTTTCATATTTTGACAACCTGTTTTTGTGTCAGGGATTTCCTT